AGGAGATGTGAGGAGATGAGGAGATGTGAGGAGAGGAGAGAGTGTGAGGAGTGTGAGGAGGATGTGAGGAGATGAGGAGAGGTGTGAGGAGATGTGAGGAGATGTGAGATGGAGATGGAGGAGGTGTGAGGAAGATGTGAGAGAAGAGATGTGTGAGGAGATGTTGAGGAGATGAGGAGATGAGGAGGATGTGAGGAGATGTGAGATGGAGATGTGATGTGAGGAGGTGTGAGGAGATGTGAGGAGATGTGAGGAGATGAGGAGAGGTGTGAGGAGATGTGAGGAGATGAGGAGGTGTGAGGAGATGTGATGAGGAGATGTGAGAGGATGTGAGAGTGAGGAGATGAGGAGATGTGAAGGAGGTGGAGGATGAGGAGATGTGTGAGGAGATGTGAGATGTGAGAGGGTGTGAGGAGTGTGAGGAGTGAGGAGATGGAGAGGATGTGAGGAGATGTGAGGAGATGAGGATGAGGAGGATGTGAGGTGTGAGATGTGAGGAGGTGTGAGGAGATGAGGAGTATGAGGAGATGTGAGGAGATGTGAGGAGAGATGAGGAGATGAGGAGATGTGAGGAGATGTGAGGAGATGTGAGGGAGTGAGGAGGAGATGGAGAGTGTGAGGAGATGTGAGGAGATGTGAGAAGGAGGGTAGTGTGAGGAGGTGTGAGGAGTGTGATGAGGAGATGTGAGGAGATGTGAGGAGAAGAGTGAAGGAGATGTGAGGAGGAATGAGGAGATGAGGAGAGTATGAGGAGATGTGAGGAGATGTGAGGAGATGTGAGGAGATGTGAGGAGTGTGAGGAGATGTGAGGAGATGAGGAGAGTGAGGAGATGTGAGGAGATGAGGTGATGTGAGGAGATGAGGGAGATGTGAGGAGTGTGAGAGGTTGTGAGGAGATGTGAGGAGATGTGAGAGATGTGAGGAGGAGATGAGAGATGTGAGGAGATGGAGGTTTGATGGAGGAGAGGATGTGAGGAGATGGATGTGAGGAGTGTGTGAGGAGATGTGAGGAGGGATGAGAGATGTGAGGATTGTGAGATGTGAGGAGATGTGAGGAGATGTGAGGAGTGTGAGGAGGAGATGAGGAGATGAGGAGATGTGAGGAGATGAGGAGATGTGAGGAGGAGATGTGAGGAGGAGATGAGAGGGATGTGAGGAGATGTGAGGAGATGAGGATGAGGAGGATGTGAGGAGATTGAGGAGATGAGATGAGGAGATGTGAGGAGGATGTGAGGAGATGATGAGGAGTGAGGAGATGTGAGGAGATGTTGGTTGAGGAGATGTGAGGAGAGGAGGAGATGAGAGAGTGATGAGAGATGTGAGATGGAGGAGAGATGAGGAGATGTGAGGGTGTGAGGAGATGTGAGGAGTGAGATGTGAGGAGATGTGAGGAGATGTGAGGAGATGTGAGGAGATGTGAGGAGATGTGAGGAGAGTGAGGAGATGTGAGGAGGATGTGAGGAGTGAGAGATGAGGAGAGAGGAGGTGTGAGGAGATGTGAGGAGATGTGAGGAGATGTGAGGAGATGAGGAGATGTGAGGAGAGTGTGTGAGGAGATGTGAGGAGGAGGTGAGGAGAGTGAGGATGAGGAGATGTGAGGAGATGTGAGGAGATGTGAGGAGATGAGGAGAGTGAGGAGATGTGAGGAGATGTGAGGAGATGTGAGGAGATGAGGAGGATGTGAGGAGATGTAGATGAGGAGATGAGGAGATGTGAGGAGATGAGGAGGTGTGAGGAGATGTGAGGAGATGTGAGGAGATGTGAGGAGGACTGAGGAGATGTGTGAGGAGATGAGGAGGATGAGGAGATGATGTGATGTGAGTGAGGAGATGAGGAGATGAGGAGATGAGATGAGGAGGAGGAGAGATGTGAGGAGATGTGAGTGAGATGTGATGAGTGAGAGATGAGGAGATGTGAGGAGATGAGGAGGGTGTGAGGAGATGTGAGGAGTGAGGAGAATGAGGAGATGTGAGTGAGATGTGAGGAGATGTGAGGAGATGAGGAGGAGGTGTGAGGAGATGAGTGAGGAGATGTGAGGAGATGAGGAGATGTGAGGAGTGAGGAGTGTGAGGAGATGAGGAGATGAGGAGGATGTGAGGAGATGAGGAGATGTGAGGAGATGAGGAGATGTGAGGAGATGTGAGGAGATGGTGAGGATGTGAGGAGAGTGTGAGGAGATGTGAGGAGATGATGTGAGGAGATGTGAGGAGATGTGAGGAGTGATGGAGGAGATGTGAGGAGATGAGGAGGAGGTATGAGGAGATGTGAGGAGATGTGAGGAGATGAGGAGATGTGAGGAGATGAGGAGGAGGTGTGAGGAGATGAGAGGTGTGAGAGGAGTGTGAGGAGATGTGAGGAGATGAGGAGGTGTGAGATGTGAGGAGATGTGAGGAGGTGTGAGGAGAGATGTGAGGAGAGGAGATGTGAGGAGATGAGGAGGTGTGAGGAGGTGTGAGGAGGATGTGAGGAGATGAGGAGATGAGGAGATGTGAGGAGATGTTTAGAACAGCTCCTCCTCCCCTCAGCTGCTCCTCTCCACGTGGAGGAGCAGCGGCTCTACTCCGAGCTCCTCCCTCCTCCTGCAGACGTCTGGACATGACTGGAGCCTTTGAGGAGAAGTGAAAAAACAAACGGAGCAGTTTAAGCACAAATAACTAAACAAACCCGAGTCTGAAGCTGAACAAAGGTCCTCAGTGCGGCTCACACACTCACCGCTGTCCCACCATTAGAAGGTCCAGACTTTGATCTGACCAAAACACCAAAACACCAAAACACCAAAGACCAAAGACCCAGGACCCAGGACCACATCAAAGTCCGAGAGGCGGCGAGTGTGTGCGCCGGTGCAGCAGGCAGAGTGGGGACCGACTCTTCAGGTTCAAAGTCGTTTATTTGACGTCATCAGTCGAACGATTCAGACTTTTGTTTCATCTTTTATTCCTTTTTCTTTAGACAAACGACGATTTTCAACTTTCTCTTCCCACGTGACCTTATATCTGTGTAATCCCTCAGTGGTCCAGGACTAAACCAGGACTAAACCAGGACTAAACCAGGTCTAAACCAGGACTAAACCAGGACTAAACCAGGACTAAACCAGGTCTAAACCAGGACTAAACCACCAGGACTAAAACCAGGACTAAACCAGGTCTAAACCAGGACTAAACCAGGACTAAACCAGGACTAAACCAGGACTAAACCAGGACTAAACCAGGATTAAACCAGGACTAAAACCAGGTCTAAACCAGGTCTAAACCAGGACTAAACCAAGACTAAACCAGGTCTAAACCAGGACTAAAACCAGGACTAAACTAAACCAGGTCTAAACTCATCTCCTCTCCCAGCACTGAGGCTGTGGTCAGATGTGCTCAGGTCAGATGTGCTCAGGTCGTGTTCGAGTTTACGTCACAAACAAACAGGACCCGTGTGCAGAATGTGCAGAGTCCAGTTCTGTGGTTCGGAGTCTGTTCCAGGACCAGGTTTTTGTTTTCCTTCTTCTGAATATGAAAGCGTCTCTGTGGAGGATAAATAGAGGAGGATAAATAGAGGAGGAGAGAGTCGGGGCGCGGGAGATTGAAGGTAAAATTGCTCGGTTCTCAGAGGCCGATTAGGAGGAGCGGCGGCGGCGGAGGTCAGAGGTCGACAGATGCTCATCGCAGTTTCATTCCCCTGGAGGAGGCGGCGTTTATGTGAAATCAGCTTTTATTTCACACTCGCACTGAAAAGGGGTTTTGGGTTTTTCCTTCTGGTTAGAGCCACAAAACGTTTTTCTGTACGTTACGAATGTTACAATGAAAATACAATTTACAAATAACACGACAGGAATAAAAAAGAATAAATACTTAAACAAACAAAATAAAAGATCAAATAAATTATTAACCTAAAGAATTATTATGATAAACACATTGTTCTTTCATACTCGTTTTGCCTCGACTTACGTGAGACAGAACGATGTATTTTGGAGTCAGTTTTTATCTGTGGACTTTTTCTTTGCCTCATGCTGGAAGTTTTATTATTTTTTTTGCTTTTATGATCAGATTTAAGCCGTTAAACACAGGTGTCAAACATAAGGCCCGGGGGCCAGATCCGGCCCTCCAAGACCTTTAATGTGGCCCTCAGCTGATTTTCTACTAAAATATTTTGAATTATATTTTCTATTAAAATCTTGTTAATTTTCTGTGGTGTTTATCACAGCAGCGTCTCCAGCGTCTCTGTACGTGGCCCCTCCCACCAGAGCAGCACAAATGAAGACTTGTCTCTTTCCAAACGCTCTTAAAGGACGATCGTTTTGACTGTTGACCGTGACACCCTCATCAGAAAAATGTCCAACATGAGAAAAGTGGAGCCGAGTGCAGGATTTTACAACAAAAATGGACTTATTCCTGTTTACAGACAAGTTCATGTTCAAACTTTGTGTTGAAATTCACGTTTTTCTTAAAGTTTCAGGTTGTTCATAATATTCTAATATTTTGTAAAAGAAAGAGTTCATCAATTCAAAAAGATTTCTGTAATAGATTTGCGTTTTTCTGCACAAATATTTGAACTTCTTGTTATTTTTGGGGTTTATATGACATGAGTTTTCTGATCCGGACACTTTGGATCAAAGTCGGTTGGACACGACCCCCGGAACAAAATGACATTGACTCTCCTGGGTTAGAGCCACAAAATGTTTTTCTGTACGTTACGAATGTTACAATGAAAATACAATTTACAAATAACACGACAAGAATTTATTTTTGTGAAGTTTTTTTTTTTTTTTTTTTCCACATGCACTAAAAAAATAAAGGCATAAAAAATGAAATAAAATAAACTGGACTTGAGGTGTCTGGTGTAAATGGAGTGTTTAAAGAATGAATAAATGATAAATACATGATTCTGCTTTTTTAAAAAGACACATGTAAAATATTTAGAGTTTAACGTTGTTCTTTCATTAGAAACATACATAGCACCATTGTTTGATGAATTCTATTTTAGGAAGTCCACGTTCAATAAGCACTTAAAAAAAAATGGACTTTAGAATTTTCCGAGATTGTTACATCAGAGGTAAAGATGTTTTTAAGTCAGTTTTGTTATAAGCATTTGTCATAAATGTCAGTTTTTCTCTGTATTTCTGAGCTATAAAACCACCTGTAATTGAATAAATGTAAAGTAGAGCTGTTTAATGTCACACTGTGGAACATTCCAGACAGAACAATGACGTATCTGTGTCCCCGTTTGTCTCCTTCGTGTCCCCAGGTGTGGTTCCTCTGCTCCGGGAGCTGACGGAGGAGGAGCGGCAGCAGATCCTTCACTCCGCAGACTTCCAGAGCTTCTTCGACTGCTCCATCCGAGTCATGGAGAGAGCCCTGGCAGAAGACAGCCACATCTACTACGACTACAGCGGCCGCGACCACCACAAGGACGGGTGAGACGCACGGGCGGAAACATCTCCTCACGAAAACGCGAAAACATCTCCTCACGCGAAAACATCTCCTCACGCCAAAACATCTCCTCACGCCAAAACATCTCCTCACGCGAAAACATCTCCTCACGCGAAAACATCTCCTCACGCCAAAACATCTCCTCACGCGAAAACATCTCCTCACGCCAAAACATCTCCTCACGCCAAAACATCTCCTCACGCCAAAACATCTCCTCACGCCAAAACATCTCCTCACGCCAAAACATCTCCTCACGAAAACATCTCCTCACGAAAACTCCTCACGCCAAAACATCTCCTCACGCCAAAACATCTCCTCACGCCGAAAACATCTCCTCACGCCAAAACATCTCCTCACGCCAAAACATCTCCTCACGCGAAAACATCTCCTCACGCCAAAACATCTCCTCACGCGAAAACATCTCCTCACGCGAAAACATCTCCTCACGCGAAAACATCTCCTCACGCGAAAACATCTCCTCACGCGAAAACATCTCCTCCCGTGAAAACATCTCCTCACGCATCATCTCACATCTCATACATGAAGAAAACACAGTCACACGATACGAACATTTCAAACTCTATTTCAATACGAGGATGATTCTGATAACATAATGATAATAATAATAATAAAAAACTCTGGTAACACTTCATAGTAACTACACATTATTCAGCCTTAATAAAGCATGAACAAAGACTTAATTAATAATGAACAAAAACTTAATTAATAATGATTCACACTTAGTAAATGTTTAATAAATGATCATTTGTCTTCACTTTAGAAAAGCTCAAAAAGACTTAACTAACAGATAACAGCTGCCTGAATGATCATTACATTACATTATTAGTAAATCATTCTCTCGTAGTTTACTAATGATTAATAAATGCTCAGATGGTTAGTTCATGAGTAATTATGAAATAATTAAGAGTAACTGTTTACAGCACAGGAAAATTAAGTGCAAGTGCTAATTTAAGTAGTAATTAAGTAGTTACTAAGCGTGAATCATTATTAATTAAGTCTTTGTTCATTATTAATTAAGTCTTTGTTCATGCTTTATTAAGGCTGAATAAGGTGTAGTTATTATAAAGTGTTATATAACTCTTTCTTTAGACAAACTGAGGGATTGAGGGACCAAATCTTCAAAATTCTAGACTTGGACACTCGGGTTTGGATGTTTGTGTGAATAAAATCGTGAAAAGAGCAAAGAGTGTGTAAGATTGTGCTTTCTCTTGTCAGTCATGATCTTCTGTCACTGCATTTTTTTTGTTTTATGGTCCTTCGCAAACACGGATTTAAGTATTTTGGCAAAACAAATGACAATTTCTGCTCGTCTTTTCTGTCGGTGAGGATCAGATTAGTCAAAAATTGTGATAGTCCTGTTTTAGTCCTGGTTTAGTCCTAGTCAAAAAGTCAAAAATAGAGACACTGGGACATTTCTTGTATAAAATTGGGACAAATCAGTGGTTTTGTGTAAATCTGCAGGGACAGAGACACAGGATCAGGACTGGGACGTCTTGACCCACTGTGATTCTCCACTTTAAATAGTAGAATTTTCTGTTCTGTTCCCATGTGTCTTTAAATCTGTGTGATTCAGCAGTGATCCAGGACTAAACCAGGACTAAACCAGGACTAAACCAGGACTAAACCAGGACTAAACCAGGTCTAAACCAGGACTAAACCAGGACTAAACCAGGACTAAACCAGACTAAACCAGGACTAAACCAGGACTAAACCAGGTCTAAACCAGGACTAAACCAGGACTAAACCAGGTCTAAACCAGGACTAAACCAGGACTAAACCAGGACTAAACCAAGACTAAACCACCAGGACTAAACCAGGACTAAACCAGGACTAAACCAGACTAAACCAGGTCTAAACCAGGACTTAAACCAGGACTAAACCAGGACTAAACCAGGACTAAACCAGGTCTAAACCAGGACTAAACCAGGACTAAACCAGGACTAAAACCAGGACTAAACCAGGACTAAACCAGCTAAACCAGACTAAAACCAGGGACCAAGACTAAACCAGGTCTAAACCAGGACTAAACCAGGACTAAACCAGACTAAACCAGGACTAAACCAGGACTAAACCAGGACTAAACCAGGTCTAAACCAGGCTAAACCAGGACTAAACCAGGACTAAACCAGGACTAAACCAGGACTAAACCAGACTAAACCAAGAGTAAACCTAAACCAGGACTAATCCAGGACTAAACCAGGTCTAAACCAGGTCTAAACCAGGACTAAACCAGGACTAAACCAGGACTAAACCAGGACTAAACCAGGACTAAACCAGGACTAAACCAGGACTAAACCAGGACTAAACCAGGACTAAACCAGGTCTAAACCAGACTAAACCAGGACTAAACCAGGACTAAACCAGGACTAAACCAGGTCTAAACCAGGACTAAACCAGGTCTAAACCAGGACTAAACCAGGACTAAACCAGGACTAAACCAGGACTAAACCAGGTCTAAACCAGGAACTAAACCAGGACTAAACCAGGTCTAAACCAGGACTAAACCTAAACAGGACTAAACCAGGACTAAACCAGGACTAAAACCAGGACTAAACCAGGACTAAACCAGGTCTAAACCAGACTAAACCAGGTCTAAACCAGGACTAAACCAGGACTAAACCAGGACTAAACCAGGTCTAAACCAGGACTAAACCAGGTCTAAACCAGGACTAAACCAGGACTAAACTAAACAGGACTAAACCACTAAACCAGGACTAAACCAGGACTAAACCAGGTCTAAACCAGGTCTAAACCAGGACTAAACCAGGACTAAACCAGGTCTAAACCAGGACTAAACCAGGTCTAAACCAGGTACTAAACCAGGACTAAACCAGGTCTAAACCAGGTCTAAACCAGGTCTCTAAACCAGGACTAAACCAGGACTAAACCAGGTCTAAACCAGGACTAAACCAGGACTAAACCAGGACTAAACCAGGACTAAACCAGGTCTAAACCAGGTCTAAACCAGGTCTAAACCAGGACTAAACCAGGACTAAAACCAGGACTAAAACCAGGTCTAAACCAGGTCTAAACCAGGACTAAACCAGGTCCATGTGTGTATTCTAGTCTCTGTGTCTTATACTTGTTCTAAAGATGTTCACGTTGGATCGTTTCTTTTCTGTCAATGGGACTTTTTGAAAATGAAAACTGATCTAGTTTCAAAACAGTTTTTATTGTTTTTTAGTGTCTGATTTTCAACACTTTTTTAAGAACCTAGTTTAGATTTCTACTGCCTGTTTCCAATCTAAATCGATTTTTTAGAGGAAATAAGAGATGTCAGTCTGGTCTCTCTTCTTCTGTCGCACCTCGAGTCAGAACCAAACACAAACGTCCAATCAGATTATTTTATTTCAGTGACGCGTGTGAAACAAAAGAGCTCATTGGTCACTGTCAGTTTGAACAAAATAAAACATCTCTCACCTCAGAAGAACAGAGTTTAATGCAATAACAAGAACAATATTTGGACATATTATTGCTAATAATAATAATGACATTTCTATTTTAATTTCAGGGTTTAATGTTAATATTTTACACCAAACTACAGGTTTAGCAGATTTTATGCCAAATGAGACAAGAGATTTTGTTGTTTGTGGAGGAAATTACATAAAAAACTACAGCCTTTGTGTCCATTCAAAAGGCAATTTCGATTCGATGTTGATTTATCTTTCAGCTTTTTGATTCCCTCGTCGATTCTGCACAAATCTGCGATGGTTTTCAGTCCTCGTTTTTATTCCATAACGTCATAAATAGAGGCTCAAACTCCAACGACATAAAATGAAAGCGTCTCTGTTCACCTGTCGACCCTGAGTCTCCAGTGTGGTGCGGAACATGTGCGCTGCCGTGGTGCCTTTGAGCCTGACTCAGTCCCGGGGGGTTAGGGTCCACCGCCTCATGAGAAGAGCTGAGTCAGGGTTCAAGAATGATCCGCTGCTCTGGTGTTCCTCTGGAGAAGAACCACACGCTCAGAGAAACCACGAGAACCACAAGAACCACGAGAAGCACGAGAACCACGAGAACCACGAGAACCACGAGAATCACGAGAACCACGAGAACCACGAGAACCACGAGAATCACGAGAACCACAAGAACCACAATAACCACAAGAACCACGAGAACCACAATAACCACGAGAACCACGAGAACCACAATAACCACGAGAACCACAATAACCACGAGAACCAGAGAACCATGAGAACCACGAGAACCACGAGAACCAGAGATCCACGAGAACCACAATAACCACGAGAACCACGAGAACCAGAGAACCACGAGAACCACAATAACCACGAGAACCACGAGATCCACGAGAACCACGAGAACAACGAGAACCACGAGAACCAGAGAACCACGAGAACCACGAGAACCAGAGATCCACGAGAACCACAATAACCACGAGAACCACGAGAACCACGAGAACCACAATAACCACGAGAACCACGAGAACCAGAGAACCATGAGAACCACAAGAACCACGAGAACCAGAGAACCACCAGAGAACCACGAGAACCACGAGAACCACAAGAACCACGAGAACCAGAGAACCACAGAGAACCACGAGAACCAGAGAACGAGAAACCACGAGAACACGAGAAACCACAAAACCAGATAACCACGAGAACCAGAGAACCACAAGAACCACGAGAACCAGAGAACCACGAGAACCACAAGAACCACGAGAACCAGAGATCCACGAGAACCACGAGAACCACAATAACCACGAGAACCACGAGAACCAGAGAACCACGAGAACCACAAGAACCACGAGAACCACGAGAACCAGAGAACCACGAGAACCACAAGAACCACGAGAACCAGAGAACCACGAGAACCAGAGAACCACGAGAACCACGAGAACCAGATAACCACGAGAACCACGAGAACCAGAGAACCACGAGAACAACGAGAACCACGAGAACCACAAGAACCAGATAACCACGAGAACCAGAGAACCACAAGAACCACGAGAACCAGAGAACCACGAGAACAACGAGAACCACGAGAACCACAAGAACCACGAGAACCAGAACCACGAGAACCACGAGAACCACAATAACCACGAGAACCACGAGAACCAGAGAACCACGAGAACCACAATAACCACGAGAACCACGAGAACCACAATAACCACGAGAACCACGAGAACCACGAGAACCACGAGAACCACGAGAACCACGAGAACCACGAGAACCACGAGAACCACGAGAACCACAATAACCACGAGAACCAGAGAACCACGAGAACCACGAGAACCATGAGAACCACAAGAACCGTCACGCCTCACGTTACTCACGCGACGCTTCACCGGGAAATTCAACACGTGACTTTATTTATTTACCTGCATTACGCAAAAGTGACTCACGTGAACTTTAATCTCTCCTCGAAATCAGAGCCGGAGTCGAGTTTGTTTCATTCACACGTGTTTGAGTCACTCTTTTTTTCTTAGTTTGTCTACGTCTTCAAAGCCCCAAACGCTCGGATCCATCTTGTGATGTCATGAAGTGGTAGTTTTCAAGTTCACTGCAAAAAAGCTTGTGCAAAAATTTAAGATCTAAACACTTGAAACATGCAGCAAAATCATTTTCATGACAAGTTAAATCTTCAAATAATCGACCTCTAGAAACGTCTCAGTCTAGTCCTGGTTTAGTCCTGGTTTAGTCTTGGTTTTAGTTCTGGTTTAGTCCTGGTTTAGTCCTGGTTTTAGACCTGGTTTAGTCCTGGTTTAGTCCTTCAGTTCATTCTGGTCTTTTGTCGTGTCATAAATGTTTCCTAAGTTCTTCTCGGTTCTTCTCGTTGTGTTTCAGAGACGTGTCCGGAGGCTCCAGTCTGTCCTTCTCTCGAGTTTTCTACGACGAGCACTGGTCCAAACATCGAGTCATCACGTGTCTGGACTGGTCGCCTCAGGTCAGTGTGAAGATCTCGACACCGTCTCCAGCTCAGCTCACGATTCAACACTAGAAGAGACGATGAATGTTTTTAAAGTACTGTGTTCTCGTGTGTAGTACTCTGAGTATATTTAAAGTACTGTGTTCTCCTGTGTAGTACTCTGAGTATATTTAAAGTACTGTGTTCTCGTGTGTAGTACTCTGAGTATATTTAAAGTACTGTGTTCTGTGTAGTACTCTGAGTATATTTAAAGTACTGTGTTCTGTGTGTAGTACTCTGAGTATATTTAAAGTACTGTGTTCTGTGTAGTACTCTGAGTATATTTAAAGTACTGTGTTCTGTGTAGTACTCTGAGTATATTTAAAGTACTGTGTTCTCGTGTGTAGTACTCTGAGTATATTTAAAGTACTGTGTTCTGTGTGTAGTACTCTGAGTATATTAAAGTACTGTGTTCTCGTGTGTAGTACTCTGAGTATATTTAAAGTACTGTGTTCTGTGTGTAGTACTCTGAGTATATTTAAAGTACTGTGTTCTGTGTAGTACTCTGAGTATATTTAAAGTACTGTGTTCTGTGTAGTACTCTGAGTATATTTAAAGTACTGTGTTCTGTGTAGTACTCTGAGTATATTTAAAGTACTGTGTTCTGTGTAGTACTCTGAGTATATTTAAAGTACTGTGTTCTGTGTAGTACCCGGAGCTGCTGGTCGCCTCCTACAACAATAACGACGATGCTCCTCATGAACCGGACGGAGTGGCTCTCGTCTGGAACATCAAGTTCAAGAAATCCACCCCAGAGTACATCTTCCACTGCCAGGTACTACACTGTACTTCTACTTCTACTGTCAGGTACTACACTGTACTTCTACTTCTACTGTCAGGTACTGCACTGTACTTTTACTTCTACTTCTACTGTCAGGTACTGCACTGTACTTTTACTTCTACTGTCAGGTACTGCACTGTACTTTTACTTCTACTGTCAGGTACTGCACTGTACTTTTACTTCTACTGTCAGGTACTACACTGTACTTTTACTTCTACTGTCAGGTACTACACTGTACTTTTACTTCTACTTCTACTGTCAGGTACTGCACTGTACTTTTACTTCTACTGTCAGGTACTGCACTGTACTTTTACTTACTGTCAGGTACTGCACTGTACTTTTACTTCTACTGTCAGGTACTACACTGTACTTTTACTTCTACTTCTACTGTCAGGTACTGCGCTGTACTTTTACTTCTACTGTCAGGTACTGCACTGTACTTTTACTTCTACTGTCAGGTACTGCGCTGTACTTTTACTTCTACTGTCAGGTACTGCACTGTACTTTTACTTCTACTGTCAGGTACTGCACTGTACTTTTACTTCTACTGTCAGGTACTGCACTGTACTTTTACTTTTACTGCCAGGTACTGCACTGTACTTTTACTTCTACTGTCAGGTACTGCACTGTACTTTTACTTCTACTGTCAGGTACTGCACTGTACTTTTACTTCTACTGTCAGGTACTGCACTGTACTTTTACTTCTACTGTTTGAGAATCCTTTACCGCAGCATCACTGGGAAACTGAACATATTTTAAAATGTTATTTAAAACTTTCAAATCTTCATGTCCTGAGGAAAGTGTTGGACGTTTGAGTTTTGGTGTTGCTTTTTTTCCGTAGTTGAAAATACTCTGTAACAGTGTTAAAAACCACACTTTACTCTGTCTCATCTTTCCTCTCACAGGTTAAAGATACTTTTAGGTTTGACATTTACACGTCTGCTGTTTTTTTCACACGTTAAGGCAAAGTGAGTTTATTTCTAAAGCACAGAGTCTTTCAAAGAGCTTCACAGGAAAATAAATACATAAAAATCACAAAAACAACAAATCACATCATAAATAATCATGGTCAAATTGAAAAGAGAGAGACACGAATGAGAGAGAAGAGTTCAGAATGAAATGATTTAAACAGAGTCAGAGTCGAGTCTCACATGTTCAGACTCTTCCAAGTTTTATCTGAAACTGTGACTCGTCCAGTTCAGTCGTGACTCTGGCTCCAGCAGGAGGTTGGTCGAGTCTCTGTCGTGTTTCATCATCATCAACTTGTCCTCAGGTTCTGAAACAAATCACCGCATCAGAAACGATTTGTGTCCAGACACGTCGTTTGTAGTGATGTATTTGTATCTCTGCTGTTTCTGTTTGTCTCTGGTTTGTTTTAAATTAGTGCTGTAAGAGATTAAAAAAAAAAGAGATTAATTATTATGATCTGTAATTAATTAATCTAATTAATCTCTTTTTAATCTCACCTGAAATTGCTGAGAAAAGCTTCAACTTGAGGTATTTTCATTTAAATTCATTATTATATTTTTGTGGCAGATCAAAACACTGATATAGAACAAAAAAAGAGACTTTATAAAGTCATTTATTGTTTAACAAACTTTAACAGATGCAGTCGTTTACATTCCACAGTATCATTTTTATTACTATTATTAATCTGCATAAATAAACTCAACTTTACAACATATAAACATAAACACTCTAGATCACAGGTGTCAAACATAAGGCCCAGGGGCCAGATCTGGCCCTTCAAGACCTTTAATGTGGCCCTTGGGTGATTTTCTACTAAAATATTTTTATTATATTTTCTATTAAAATATTGGTAATTTTCTGCGGTGCTTATCACAGCAGCGTCTCCAGTGTCTCTGTACGTGGCCCCTCCCACCAGAGCAGCACAAATGAAGACTTGTCTCTTTCCAAACGCTCTTAAAGGACGATCGTTTTGACTGTTGACCGTGACACCCTCATCAGAAAAATGTCCAACATGAGAAAAGTGGAGCCGAGTGCAGGATTTTACAACAAAAATGGACTTATTCCTGTTTACAGACAAGTTCATGTTCAAACTTTGTGTTGAAATAGAATTTTTCTTAAAGTTTCAGGTTGTTCATAATATTATAATATTATAATAAGAAAGAGTTCATCAATTAAAAAAGATTTCTGTAATAGATTTGCGTTTCTCTGCACAAATATTTGAACTTATTGTTATTTTTGGGGTTTATATGACATGAGTTTTCTGATCCGGCCCCTTTGGATCAAAGTCGGTTGGACACGACCCCCGGACCAAAATGAGTTTGACTCTCCTGCTTTAGATCCACATCAGCTGTTTAACATTATCATGTTTTAATGCAGATTTGTGCAAATAGAAACGAAACTTAAAACCACATGACTCATTTGCATAAACTAAGCAGGGAAAAAAAAACGTTCTCTCTGTCAGAGGGGTGTCTCAGATGTGGTGTCAGAGTCTCTTTCAGAGGGGTGTTCTCTCGACAGACTAAAGAGACAGACAGAGGGGTGTTCTCTCTGTGACAGAGGGGTGTTCTCTCTGTGTGACAGAGGGGTGTGTCAGATGTCAGAGGGGTGTTCTCTCTGTGACAGACAGAGGGGTGTTCTCTCTGTGACAGAGGGGTGTTCTCTCTGTGTGACAGAGGGGTGTTCTCTCTGTGTGTGTGTGTGACAGAGGGGTGTTCTCTCTGTGTCAGACAGAGGGGTGTTCTCTCTGTGACAGAGATGTGTCAGAGGGGTGCTCTCTGTGTCAGAGGGGTGTTCTCTCTCAGAGGGGTGTGTGACAGAGGGGTGTTCTCTCTGTGTGTCAGAGGGGTGTTCTCTCTGTGTGACAGAGGGGTGTTCTCTCTGTGTGACAGAGGGGTGTTCTCTCTGTGTGACAGACAGAGGGGTGTTCTCTCTGTGATGTGTCAGATGTTCTCTCTGTGTGACAGAGGGGTGTTCTCTCTGTGTGACAGACAGAGGGGTGTTCTCTCTGTGACAGAGGGGTGTTCTCTCTGTGTGACAGAGGGGTGTGTTCTCTCTGTCAGAGGGGTGTTCTCTCTGTGTGACAGAGGGGTGTTCTCTCTGTGTGACAGAGGGGTGTTCTCTCTGTGTGACAGAGGGGTGTTTCTCTCTGTGTGTGTGTCAGAGGGGTGTTCTCTCTGTGTGACAGAGGGGTGTTCTCTCTGTGTCAGAGGGGTGTGTCTCTCTCTGTGTGACAGAGGGGGTGTGTCAGGGGTGTTCTCTCTGTGACAGAGGGGTGTTCTCTCTGTGACAGATCTCTGTGTGACAGAGGGGTGTTCTCTCTGTGACAGAGGGGTGTTCTCTCTGTGACAGAGGGGTGTTCTCTCTCTGTGTCAGAGGGATGTTCTGCTGATGGTGAGTCTGTTCTGTGTTTGTGTCGTGATGTTTTCAGATCAGACGTGTGCAGGTTTATCACAGATGCGGTGAGAACGAGAATGAAAATTTCAATTTTGCAGGAGCGACGTGTTATTGTCCCAACAACACATAAAAACACATTTTATAATAAGGAAACTCATACAGAAACAGAAAAGTTAGAGATTAAAAATAAGATTTACGCGATTAAAAAACATAACGCGCTAAATATGACGTGATAATTTGACACCCGTAGTTTAAACTGTTTTCCACAACATCGTCACATGACGACGTCACAAACCCAGAGAATCAGAAGGAGCGAGTCACAGTGACACAGTGACACAGTGACACAGTGACACAGTGACACAGTGACACAGTGACACAGTGACACAGTGACACAGTGACACAGTGACACAGTGACACAGTGACACAGTGACACAGTGACACAGTGACACAGTGTCCAATCAGGACGAGACTCCAGCTCCTACAGCAGTACACACTAGTGTGGATCAGAGTTTTACACACAGTGTGAGTCACCACACTGTAACACACCCATCACATACACACTGGACCAACATGAACTCCAACAACAACACCACTCACATACACACTAGTGTGAACCAACACTGTACACACAACAACACCACTCACATACACACTAGTGTGAACCAACACTGTACACACAACAACACCACTCACATACACACTAGTGTGAACCAACACTGTACACACAACACCACTCACATACACACTAGTGTGAACGGGGCCTCAGATGCTCATGTAAGTGTCACCGCTCTGAGCTCAGAAAGTCAAATGATCAAACTGACTGAAGTGTGAACTGTTCTTGGGACGGACTTGGACCTTGGACAGTTTTGAAGAGATGTTCCACCTTTGATCTGAGCTTCACTGCTGCAGAAACTCTGTCCTTCAGCAGTGAGATCATCTGTTTGTTACCGGTGCAAACGTAACAAACCAACAGAGTTTTCTTGTCTGTTTTAGTGTTATTTTACAGCTCACTCTGTGGACACTTTTAAATCAAAGTTACAAACAGATTTATACAGAAACTTCTGGACGTGCAGTCAGTTGATGTTTTTATGTTTTTAGTGTCATTTTCTGCTCCATAGAAGAATGTGAGTTGTTAACGTGGCTGATTAGTGACACCAAAACACGAGGAGACGTGGAGAGGTTGAGTTTCACTAGGGTTTGGTAAAGTTTCTGGGTGGTTTCTGGGTGGGTTTTAGTAGTTTTGGGTGGTTTCCGGGTGGGTTTTGGGTGTTTTTTGGTTGGGTTTTGGGTGGATGTTTGGGTGGTTTTGGGTGGGTTTGATTGGGCGTGTGGACCGGGGCAGGACTTCCATGTGAGAGCCACTTCCTCACACACTGTCCTCATGATGTGACCACACACAGGCTCCATCCTCTCACACTCTCAGAACATCTCGCGTGTGGAGATTTACGGCTGTGGTCGCTCCTCACGCCTCCTTCTCCAACAAACACATTTTCAAATGACACTTTAGATCGTGTGAGAAAACTCCACTTTTTGGAGATTTAACATAGAAAAAAATAAAACGTTCTTCCGTCAAAAAATACTGTACCTGGAGTTTTGCTGAGTTTTGTTCACTGTTCAAGGTGAATGAAACA